TCCAGTGTCTTGCCGACCACTGCGGCTGCGCTATTACTGTACAACATTGAAATTCGGCCAACGCGACAAGGCGGTACAACTTTGAGCATTTTGCGACGCCTGCTGGTCGTGGTCGGAACTACGCCCAGCATTCTTGAGGCTTTGATTAACATGAGGTACTACGGCACGTCAAGCAATGCAGCAATTTTTCAACATGCTGTATTCAAAACAACAAAAGAGCAGCCACAAAGTACTGGGGTTGACATTTCAAATGCTTGTAGAATACCTATGGATTCTCAGTACGAGCCATGAAATTAGTTGTGGTTATTTTTAATTTTGCTCTCCAACTTTGTTATTTGGGAAATGCAATCCTGTTGTTACATAAGGATGTGACAGGAGGCCCTACTGGAGATACAAAGCCACTACTCTCAGGTGTAAAGTCTAGAGCTTTATTCACAATGCACTGTGTCAAAACATGCCTCAAAATTCATGTGGGAAAGTAGTTTGACATAAAATTACAGCGCACCCTCAGACAGGATGCATATCCATGGTAGAGCCACTAGCCAAAATGTCTTGGCATTACTAAGTGTTGAGAAATGAACTAAGTCTTTAATTAAACAGTAGCCTGCACCAACTACCCACCAGTGTAAGGACTAACACTAACCAGCTGGCCATCAATAGGTTTATTTTGCATTTAGTCATTTAGTAGATGCTCTTACCCAAACCGACTTACAAACAAAGAGTCCAAGAGAAATGACTATAGAATTCCTGTTACACAACACTGTGTACCTTGTAAGAGATTGTGAGGTTCATCTGTGGAACAGGGTGGTCTTTTTCAGATCAAAATTCTTGATTCTGTAGCTTGCATAACCAGCAAAAAACTGGAGGTATGCTTAGCCTCTTTAATTTATAAAGCTCCTCAGCAAAATTTTGAAAAATATTCCCCTCAAATGGACCAAATCTGCTAAAGTATTATCTTCCAATGCCATTAAACATGTGAAGTATCATCCTCCAATGATGTGAAGGTCCTAAAGTACTACCTTCCAATGCCATTAAGCACCTGAACTATCATTTTCCAATGGTGTGAAACTCTCAAAATAAAGTAAGATAAGTTCCACAGGTCATATCCATAAGCCATCTTTCTGTAATCACTGCTTTTTTGTTTTTGTTGTTTTTTAGTAGTATGCAATTAATATCACAATGAACCAAAACAATGAGTGACAAAACAGAAAAGGAATGTTCATTTCAAGACAGTCAACAGTTAACAGATGTGGGGGTACAAAATTCTTATAATTCCATGGATCAAATGTGAGATATGGGTATTAATGTTATCAATGCTGAGGGAATAATGGTGGGCTACAAAGGAGACTAGCCATAGAGAAATATTCAGAAGAAAAAAAAACATAAATGTAAAGTTTGACAAAATGTGAGATGCTAATGTTTGAAACACCTGTTCCAGATCTGTAAACATCAAAATTCCTGTATCATGTAACAGGCTAGCTGATTGATCTGGAGTCAGAATAAAGTCTAAAAACCATCATCCCAGTAGACAGAGTACAATGAAATCACTAGAAAGCTGAATGTGCACCGAAACTGAAGGCAAGAAAAAAAGAAATATTAAACAATCTGCACATGTCCTTACAGCTCTGTACCAAGTTTATTAGGTTGATAAGGTAACATCAGACTTCAACCAAGGATACCAAATCATGGCTAATATAAAGGTCAATATCTGACCACAAACTGACAGTAATATCAGTGACCAAACTTTAGGTTTGCCATACACCTTCACACAGACATACTGCAAATTAATTGAATGTGCATACTAAACACCAAATATATCTTTAATCCAACTATCACACCAGCTCAGTTAAGTACTCATCACTTTCTTCTGCCTGCAGACTGAAGACTAATGTGTCTGAGCCCGAGGAGCTCCACCATTAATACCTCTGTGCAGGCTGAACTCTTGGAATTAATGTATACAGACACATTTCCATGCTAATTGCACATGATAATGAATGTACTCCATCATGTAACCTCCTAGATAGATGCCTAAATAATATTCACACGCTGAGCTGAAATTCCAGCACACCAGTGAAGTGAAGCTTTGATTATTTCTGTATATCAGTGTATATTTCTTCAAGGGACCAAAATCTGACAGATCTGGGGTGTGGGATATTTCATAGACCAAATTAATCCGTATAATCAAACCTGTCACACATGGTAACCACATTCCTGAGTGTGTCACCTTTGTCTCATCTGCAGACACCATGTGTCTTGGTGTATATCAGTTAGTCCTTTGAGTGCCTCTGTCCTTCAGCCTAGCATGGCTGCAACTGCCCAGCACTCTCTGACCTGCGGAGGTCGAGATGAGCCCAAGAGCTCCAGCCTGCTGAACTCCAGGTTAATCACTTGGAGTGACACAAACTTTTAAACTCAATTATAACAACCTGTAAGGAGATCTGGGAACAATAAACACAGCGTTCCTGATTTTTTACTGAGCTTGGAGTTTTGGAGGTTTTTCCCACATGAGCGGGGAAAAGGAATGCACTTTGGCAGCTAACTTTTAGTCATGCGATTTATACAACACATCTGCATTGGATTGGAGTGATAAATACACCATATTCATAAACTGATCACAACTCCACTGCTGATGCATAAAAACAGTATTCAATGAATACTATTGTATTTGCATATCTGCTCTGAAAAGTTGTCAGGAGGATTATTGGCCCTATAGTCCTTGTCTAGGGTGTTCATACTCATCCTTAACACATCCTGAGATCTATTTCTGTCCCTGTCCCTTAACACAGGACATCAAAGATCAAGGTAAATGCTGAGGCTGGGGGGGATGGGGGTGGGCACATACTTCAACAAAAGCTGTCACAGTGATGCAGAGTCAGTGTCTTTAGGCCTTGACTTGTGCGGGAGCAGTGGGGACCTTCATAGGTATGCAGTGTTACTTCTCTATGCAACGATTGAATAGCCTGTGACACTGGCTCCTTTTCAACCTCACCTGCTTCAACAAGACTGTATCTAAGAGCTGGCATGGGTGAATATTGCACAGCTCAGTCCTTACAGCCTCGTAGCATCATTGCAGCTTTGTCAGGATGTTGTATGAATGTGATACACTGTGCTGCAAGGACATCATAATGCTATTAGGAATGGTCGATTTTCACTCCATAGAATAGTAATGAGGTGTAATGATGGGTGTCTCAGAAGTAGAATATTATCCAATTTTGTTGTTGTCTGAAGCATGGGCTTATGGTGCTGATACATCTGCCTTGATCATTAGTGCTGTGAGTATCAGGGTCCTTAGACTATGTGCCCATTTGGCCCATATTGTCTCTAAACCCAGGTGAAGAATTTTTAGCCTTTTAGTTCACTATCATTTTACTTACCTGCTGGTTGTAAAGACACATCCAGATTGGAGGCCATTGTCAGCACTGTGGGATTCTGGATACCTTGATCTGATTGCCTGTGTCTTTGAGAGATCTGGCAATGCCTTTCTTAGCCTTAAACTGAGGTAGCAAATAGAAGATCTGAGGTTTCACACACACACACACACACACACACACACACACACACACACACACACACACACAGGGGTTGCATTTTATCCTCTTTTTTCCCTGCTGGGAGTTCCAGGAGCAACTGTTAGCTATTAAGAACCTGCACTGCTGACAGTATGCAGATTATCAGGGGACTTCACCAGCTCTCTCAAAGCACAGTCTCTCTGTCATCCCTCATTTGACTCTATGCCATAGTTAACACTGCTTTGGCCATGTGGTTCCTATCATTTCAGACTCAGGATATTGTAATCAAAAAAGCACAAAAATGATGTTAGAGTACATTTAATCACTTTGCAGTTGCAGAATATGATTGCTTAGGACAATACAATGCATAATAATCCATCCACAGAGCAGAGAGGTTTCTATGAGACTTCAAAACAAAATCCAGCATCACACCTCCTGCAAGGAAGAGAAGTTCATTAGGTGTCTGTTTTTCTGATTATTATTGATTGGTTGCTTTATCAACCGCTGATGCTGCCTTAATAAATATACCAGATAAATAGACAGATTAATATTATTGTACAGAAGAGCAGAAGACATGTTCACTGCTTGTATTTTCCATTGCATGTAAACCCTAGAACTTTGCCTGTGATTTCTGTAAGAGGAGGAATATTTTGCATCTCTTCCACAGGGAGATGTGCAGATGTGAGAGTTTATCGTGCATTCAGCTCCTTTTCAAGAATTATTACCCATGACTGAGTATGCCACAGTAAGTGGTACTAATCCTGCAGTACTTCAGGGTTTATTTTCAGCTCCCCAGTAAAAAATACAAGTGGTAACTGAATCATTTACTCAGACTCCATGGGAAGCTCTTAAAATTGACCTAGATTAACCTTAATGACACCTTTCAACTCCCCCAAACCCTTTTCAGCAATGCTGATTTTTTTTTTTTTGTCAGAGCATTACCTGTTTTTTCAGTCTACAAAATGACCACATTTATAATGGGTTCAACTGAAAAACATTCTTGTTTGAAGAATTAGAAAACAAGTTAATGACTGAGGTTCAGTGATAGTCATCTTTTATAGTGCTGCTATGAAAGCAACCAGAAAAAGAATCACAAACAGCACACTACCATTGTGGTGAGAGCACAAAAGCTCATCCATTTTAAGTGCTTGGTTGGTATGGTCAATGCTTTCCAGGTATTTTTGGTCTCAGGAAATATAGGCTGAGACATCTCTCCCAATCAAGTGCTTTTGAAAGGAAATACAGCCCCATCTATTGGACAAAATAGGAAACAACTTAAACACAAGTTTGTTGGAGGTATTACCCATGAAAACCACACAGCCTGCCAAACGTTGCAACATAGAAACAGGTACATCCACTGTACACTGCAGTACATATTTAGGAGCCATAAATCCCTGCTCTACTTTCAAGGGAGAAATGCATGACGCGATTTTCATGCCCATGTCTCTTGAATAGCGCTTAACGCATAAACAACGTATACTCTAAAAGTCTTGTCAGAAGTGGGATTCGAACCCACGCCTCCATTCGGAGACCAGAACACCCATTACAACGGAAGGTATTGAACCTTGAGTCTGGCGCCTTAGACCGCTCGGCCATCCTGACTATACAGAAACACGCAGCCAGTGTCTTTACGAATTACAAGCTGCCATAATATCTGAAAGACCTCACGTATTCTATGAATTAATTATTTAACAATGTAATTTGCTGGCTGTCGCAACTTGTAGGATAACTTTGTTGCAGTGATTTGGGGCATAATGAATTTAGTGGAAATACGGATATCAAAACAAGGCATAGCGACCTCTAAAATTATCTAGCAAGCACAAATTGACTTCCAGTGTTGCATACAATCAATGTTACATGTAATCAACGTATTAACTCCCTATCAGTGCAGAGGAATGCTTGTTTAGATCCACGACACTGACGTTAGATCAAAAGAGCTATAGCACCTCCCCCTGGCAGCTGATTCATTTCAGATGCAATTGTAGTCCTTTTTGATATTATTTTCTGTAAGAAAAACTCTTCTGAAATAATTAGCTGTGGTCTTTATCGCTCAAAGTCGTATATAATACAGTAAAACTGTGTACAGATAGCATAGCTAGTAAGTTAGCCAGCTAACTTAAAGCATGCCATTTTAGCCGGGTGGGCTAGTTCAAACGCCTTGTTGCGAGTTTAACTTAATTTGTAGTGTTGATTACGTGCAAATGTTTCCTTGCATTCATGAAATATGAATATATGCTAATGTATTTTGACACAAAAGGTCATGTCAGAAGTGGGATTCGAACCCACGCCTCCATTCGGAGACCAGAACACTCCTTTGTGAGGAAGGTTGTCAACCTTGAGTCTGGCGCCTTAGACCACTCGGCCATCCTGACAACTGACAATTTGTTGTGCTCATTTTGCTACCTATACATTATGTATGACTATACTACGAAAACGATGCTGAGCTAGTTATCTAAGTCTGTCAGTCCTCGAAAATGCACTTTAGGATACATTTGTGCTTGTGATATCTTTAGTAGTCTATATAACGAAGTGAACCGTGGTCTTAAGTGTAACGTAATCTTCGTAGCACGCTCAACTCGCTCGCATGTCGTCTTCCGCAGCTAACTCCGTACCTGAACATTAAAAATTCAACAGCAAACAAGCTATCTAAATGACACAAAATCAGCTCATATAAATACGTGCAGTGCCTTTACATGTGCGTCATCTTTCGAGTTATGCAAGGCATATCGTACTACATTATTGACATATTGTGTTTAACAATGTATTATAATAAAATTCTACATAACACAATATAGAAAGCTGTATAAAACTGTACGAGAGCCTACTTAACTACGAGGAAGTTTTAAATATCCTTTAAAGTCACCGCTGCTTACGGAACTCGCTGAAGACAATAAACCACCAAACGTGTGCAATCGTGACATGTGTTTTAAATTTTGTCAACGTCAGGGGCTTCTATCGTAACTGCCCCTCGGACCTGCACCACACTGCGCGGCTACAACAGCGATCTTATCGGCACAGTCCGCTGGATTAGCTGACTTCAAAATACATTAGTTACCTACTTTCCCTTAAATTTCATGATGGCAAGACGGCCACACTGCAATATCCAATCTGAATGCATTACATGCATTTAGCTTCAAGCTAGCTATCTAAATTGGAAATAATATTTGGAGTGCAAGGAGTCATGTACATAATGTGATGCGTTGTTATATGATCAATATTGTAAACAAACCGCCTGGCGTTAGCCATATCATGGCGTAATTTAATGTCACAGCTGAACGTTAAGTATTCAAATTGTGCTCTTGATCTAACTAACTAGCTAGATACGTTGAGATGTTTCATTTGGGGTTCTATTTGGTAGTGTTAGCTAGCTAGCTAACGGTTAACGGAGCTGCACAAAAGGAAGACAACGGCAAAAACTAACGCTAACTTTGATTGACACCTGTTAAACCTCTTAAGCTTTTGATTTTACCGTCTTTGTATTTTAAAAGTCATTTTGCTATTACCTTTTCTCGTGGGTTGAATTTTACATTATTTAAAACACGTGTTTAATGTTAGCGTACCTGTTCACCCATCACCTTTTCCTTCTTTGAACGCCTGACGGAACCTGATGAAACGTATTTGTCTCTGCAGACAGTCCTCAAAAATGGCAGAAATTGGAGCTCACAGCATTTTGCCTTTAACTACTTTGATCCCGACTTGTGCAAAGGGCCGTCAAAGATGATTTGGCATTCCTGCCTGTGCTTGTATTAATTGTCAGGATGGCCGAGTGGTCTAAGGCGCCAGACTCAAGGTTAACAACCTTCCTTACAAAGGAGTATTCTGGTCTCCAAATGGAGGCGTGGGTTCAAATCCCACTTCTGACAAGATTTTTTTTTGTTCTATTGTGCTGGAAGTTGCTCTGAATAAGAGTGCCTGCTAAATGCATGTGATGTAATGTAATGCCTCATCTGCTTTTCCTGTCTGGGGTGGTGGTGGATGTGGTCACTGGCCATAATGTGTGACCATGAGGAGAAGAGTGGAATGTCAGCATGCAGCAAACTCTTAACTGTGGCAGCAGTAGGCATCGTGGTGAGCGTGTTGCACAGGGAGATGCTGGGAAAGTTGGGCTCCAGGGAAACATTGAAGAAGAGAGGTCTGACCAGTGGCATCACTGCATTACTGACCACAAGAATGAGGAACCTGTATAAACATACTGATCTCCCAGAACTAGTCCTGGATGCCCCTGAAAGGGAGTCCATCAAGAAAAGCCATGGGGGAGGCCTTTTCATAAGTTAATCATGGGCATCTTCACCATTCCTGTTCATCCATCCATCTCTGTCATTCCCTGTGATACAGAGATCCAACTAATCTGATCTACAAATACCCCACCACACAGTACTAGTCTTCTACTGAATGACTGGGCTCTCTCTCACAGAACACACCATCTGTGGTCTTGCATTTAGTGTGAAACGTATTTTTCAATTCCAGCCGTTTCCAAGAGTTTGACACACTGGTCCAAATCTGAGCAATAGTTAAAGTGGTATATGACCATACCTAAGTGACCCAGAGATCCTGATGGTCACTGAAAACCAATTTCAGAGAAAGCAATTTCATTGATTATTGATTTTCAATGACCATGACACTTGATTATGTGTAGAAAAAGAACAAAAGCAAAACAAACTATTTGGGAAACATTTTTATTCACCTGCTTGTTTCAGAATATTACTGGTTTTGCCAATGGCAAGAAATTACATCTGATGATCTGTCCTCCAAAAATACATCCTGACCAGTAATGTTCTACTGTGAGTCTGATCAAGAAGTTGTTTACCAGGGTTTTTGTACTAAAACCTAACGGAAACAGGACAGATGATAGGCAGTCTGTACCCACAATTTGTGAACAACAGAGTCACCACTACCTCTGTTCCTGAGCATGTAAACCTAATGAAAAACTTGGTGTCTATTAATGTTTTAATTTTCCTTTAAACTGAGGTAAGCACAGACAAACGAACCCCCAAGGGAAAAAAAAAAAAAAATCAATGCATTAAAATCCACACACAAAAATGGACGCAAGAAAGTAGAAAATAGAAAATAAAAGCAATTTTATTGCAATTCTTCAAATATGTTCAAAATGGAATGTATTTAACTGCATTCTCATAAGTTCCAGCGTGAGAAGACTGAGGAATACACAATAATCCAGCCAAGACCACTAGTGTCTCAGGTGCATACTGTACCTAATCATGAGGCAACTCTTTCACCACCACCAGACAAATGTGTGTGGGGAAAAATCCATTCACGCTAAGCTGTGCAAACTGGCCCCTATAGAGATATTCAATAAATATTAATATTATAATTGGCTGTTACATAATTGATAAATGCATGTTTTTCCCTTTCTCCTACTTCTAATACATACTGTCTGAAAAACAACTATCATTTGGGATTACACTGTCTAATGATGGTGGCCATATTATGACTATAGTAACTGTAAAAATTATCTGTCATTCCAACATTTATATTTTTGACAAATAAAGTTCAAGAAATCAGTTTTCAAATGCCATTCTGAGCTCATGTGAATTTAACCAACCGTATACAAATAAAAACAAGGAAAAAATGTGAAAATGCTAGTCTGTGTTCTGTCATCAATTAACAGTATATACTTAGTAGCATTTGAAGTGCAAGGCTGAGTACAGAATAGAATATATAAGGTTTACTTTCACTAAGACCTGATTAATTGAGGTGCAAACTGGCTAATGACACAGTAATTATCACAGCAGCGGCACTTCAACTTAATGCAGTGTTTCCATGAGAACCCAATAAAGAACTGAAAGGCTTTTGGGGCAGTAAAAGGCCACAAATTTGTGATCCCTGCCTCTCATTAGAAAGACTGATTAGTTCACTTTAGCCCCTATTCCACAGCTCTTTAGAGTTTGTGCTTGGTGGCTAGTGACTTGATTTGGGATGGATTTTATTGGTTAAAATTATTAACATTGATGAATGTTTCCCTTTATCACTGAGGCTTTTCCCCTCTGTTTTGTGGGACTGTGCTATATATATCATAGAGAGGAAAACTCATTTCAAATGAACATCTTTGCCTTTTGATAAACTAAGATACAGCGCTCTTTGAAAAGTTCCCCAAAAAGTATAACTCTACAGATACTATTCAATGATGCAGTGATGTTGGTTTTGGACATTAAGAGTTGATTTTGGATTTGGGAAACTTGGACTTGAGATGACATATCATACTCTCATATGAACTTTTAAAGAACAATGAAGAAAATGAGCCATCCCTCTGGGTGTAGCTTAAGGAAAGTCTATGACTGTAACTCTGGCGACAACGTAGGAGAAGGGTGGCAAAGTTAGTTAGGTACTTCATGTGTGTGCAGGTTGCCAACCAAAAATCCTTGGCATTGGCCTAAATGTGTCCTCTTTAAAAAGCTACTGTCTGACTGTTCCTCCTACTACGGGAGGGAGCGGTGTCTCAGAGACGCTATGCTAGGAGATGGGAGCGTGGTACCAGGTGGCACTCAGCTGAGGAAAGCTGTTCTGATATTGGTTAGACCTGACTGGGATGTTGCTCTCACAGTGGCTGGATGTGACTTGGTTGTTGCTCTTGCAGCTGTGTCTTCTCCCTCTCAGGATGATGGTACACAATGTGGCCTCTCCTCGATAGATGTGGCTCAGTGTTGCCCCTGGCAACAGGGACCCTCAGGATACCACTGGAGTCATGTCCCACAACTGTGGAGACAGAGCGTAACCCACACAAGGGGGATTTCTGGAATATGATGGCTTGGAAAACTTTGTTAAACTACTCAAAGTCTACACCTGTTATTACGTTTTCAGTTCTGTCCACTATAGGTGGTCTATACTGGAATGAAAACTCAATCTCAATGTGACTAACACACATCACAAAGTGAAGCAAAAGAGTAAGGGTAGTGCTTTTACCCAGGACTCCCTCATACATTATTCGAGTGCATCACACAAGCAGCCATTCTCACTGGCAGTGTGTGGGTCTCACCTTAAGTACCCTGTCAGTCCCCGAGGTCAGCAGCCAGCCTCTGGTGGGCTCATAGTGCATGTGGACAATGCTGTGCTTGCTGTCATGGAATGTTGCAGTGGGAGCCCGGCTGAAGCACAGAACACAGAAAGGTCAATATAAATGCTGCCATGACAACTGCAAGACTGCAAAGGCAAGAACAATGTGATGCATGTGAAATAAGTCTACACTGAATCCGGAAAAGTCTGGGCTGTTCATCATGGGTTTGGGTATCTCAAGCAGTTAACTAACATGTAGAATAAGTGTGATATTCATCCAGGTAATAAGAGTTTAACACTGAGAATGTGAAAGAGAGTCAAACACAGCAGACTCTGAACAGACTTGCCAAGTCTGGGGGGGGGGGTGTCACTCATTTTCTTATCCACCACATCAGCACATCCCCACAGCCAAAGATTGCGTCACATACTCAGAGCTGCACAATTAGGGATGAACTGGCACTGTGTTTGAAGAATTCAACCCCTCAAATGTAACATCCAAATGTGTGTACATTTATAGTGATGCTGCATTACGTGACCGGCTGAGGCCAAACGGAGGGGGGTTTACTCACTCCTCGTCAGTGATGGACTCGTGGCAGCTGTCGCACACCCGGACCTCGAACTCGAAGCCCATGAGCGGGATGGTGGAGCGCTTGGAGGAGCACTTCCCACAGACGGCCTGGCCACACTTCCTGCAGTGGTGCTGGGGGGAGCAGGGCACAGGTGACACACTCAGGCGGCCGCCTACTTAACAGAACTGAACCATCAACAACCAGCTGTTATACAGTTGCTGTTGGGTCTCTGGGGACATTCAAAGGACCGTGAATGCATAAGGAAGACAAATGTCTGGATTTGCAGCCCACTCAAGCTTGAGTATGATGTCAGTGTACAGAACTTTTTCTGCCCCCCTGTGGACACACACTGAAATATGCCTAGGCCTTAAATTATGCTTTAGCGTAAAACTTGACACTGCCTTCAAGTAGCAATTCACCTGTATGTCCACAAACAGATCAAAACCCATCTAATATTTCTATGTTCATGCTTTACTGTTGACTAATATATTTTGTTTATACTTTGTAAGATCATCTAGTTTGCTTATACATTTTTAGTTTACATTTTTGCTGCAGGCATACTTGAGCTCAAGGAGAAATCATTCGCATCAAGCCAACCAAAAACAGAACCAAAAAAGGAGGGAAATGAGCACTAAAGAATGTGCAGGGAGCATGCAAATGTCTGGACCTGTGCCACTCTGAACACACTCTAATGAGAACAACTACTGCAGATGCTGAAAACAACAGTAAATAAGGACTGGAGAGGAATGAACAAATTGCAATGTGTAAGCAGGTGTACTTGAGCCTTTTTACTATCGATTTGCTTAGCAGAAGCACTTACCGAGGCTGACTTACAATGCTGTTCAGAGGCTATAACCCTTTTATTCAGCCTAATTTTAACCATGGCATTTGAAGTAAGAATACCCTTACTCAATAACCCAAAAGAAGTGCTCCACTCAGGTTGTACTCATAAGCCTCAGCTCCAGACCCCTGGTCTCTAACCTCTAAGCTCCAGTGTTGCTTTTGTGATACCTGTAATGAATAGCCATGGGACCCCTTGAAGGACAAGGGTGAAAGTAACAAGCTGCCCCAACTTGGTGTGTAAATACAAGCCCATACATAAATGTATCCAAGAATGTACACAACCAAGCTGACACACAGCCCTGTCAGACTGCTGTGATGCTGCTCCAGTGTTGCGTGCGGGTTTAGGGCAGCAGCAGACTTTCAGTGTGCTGGGATCTGCTGCTTACTTGCCGCAAGCCGATCTTCTTGCTGTCCCACATCTGCTTGAAGTTCCAGAAGAATGG